ATACTTCTGTATTTGTGTTCCTCTGCAATGACACTGCCGCTAGCTGGCAGGAGGTTTTTGTTTTTATTTCTCTATATCAAGTTTCATCGCTGGTGTTTTGTCGGGACTTGACACTTGTAAACACTCGCTCCATCGGGCTTGCAGCTCTCAGCACCGCCCACACCTCACTGCTACCAGGCCGACCAATCACAGAGCTTGTGCTGCGTCGTTGCGATGAGTGGGCACATTTTTTGAGAGGTGCGTGTTAGTCAGCCACGCCAAGGGCTAAGCAACGTAACACAGAAGTATGAATCAGCCTTAATAGTTTAGCTCAATAAACTCATAATTTGCTGCTTATTAATAATTAGTAGTGAGTTTTAGGTATTGGAAATGATTAGGGATGTGGAATAAGGGTGCTTTCATACTAGGACTTTTGGTCCGCACCCGGGCTCATTTGACATCATAGTACGGTACGTTTAGCTAGTGTGAACTTGTCTTCTGAACTCGGATGCGCACTCGTGAACCATACCTTAGTCCGCCTGAAAGAGGTGGTCTGGGGTACAGTTCATGCGAAATCTGGTACGGTACACTTCTGATGGGAATGCAATCGTACCAAATAACGGAAGTGAACCGCCAACTGTACAACAAACTATTGTTTTCATTACGTTCGTTTGTGTGTGTCTGTGTCACGTTTTGTATCTTGGTGACCCGCGCGGGACTAAGCCAGGGCAAACACAGCAATACACAGTGATGTCTGCTTGTCTCCTCGAAAAACAGCTTCTGCAGACACTGTGTGATGTTCTGAATGTTTATAATATTTTTGCGGCGGATGGATGCGAGTCGCTTTCTGTATCCCCAAAACCAAAAGCTTCAGTTAAAGCAGAATGACCACAATGTGCGGACGCTAGGGGTGTAACGATTTATCGTTGTACGATTTATTGCGATGCAAAAATGTCACAATATGCATCGTGGCGTTATGACGATTTGATTACGATATGACGTCCGTTTTCTCTTATTAGTTGAGCACTTTGCACGTGAGCTACATTCCACCTGCTGTCGCACGTGAGTTCAGATTGCAGCAGCAGTAATGTAACAGACCAAGATGAGTGGAGCTGAAATAGAGGATGGCCCATCCTCTCAAAATCAGACGTCTGGCAACATTTCGGTTGTACAATCATTGCTTTAGACTCGTCCGCTTTTTGACACGCATACTGGGTCAAACATCCTAAGTTTTAAAGTCTTCACAGTGATTTACATACTTTGCACAGCTACAGGGATACCTCCTAATGGTGTTGAAAGAGTCACATACTGTATTTATAAGGTACAATTCACCCTAAAATATCATTCTGTCTTCATATAATGTTCCCGCCGCAAAATCACACATGATGTGAGCTGACCGTGAGCTGTTACTACAGAGGGAGGATGATAGACGCGCGCGTATGGCAAGCCGTTTTAGCATTTAAACCTTTGTTCTGACTATCCATAAATATATTTTGAGATATCTCTAATTATATTTTGACTAGTCATAATTATAATTCAACTAGTCAGAATGAAAATTAGAGATATCTGCAATTACAATTGTACTAGTACGAAATCAGATTGGAGATATCTGCAAATATATTATGACTAGTCATATTCCTCCATTGACTTCCATTGAAAAATATTTGCAGATATCTCTAAATGAGTTTTGACTAGTCACAATTGTAATTAGAGATATCTCTAAATGAATTTAATTAAATATGAATTAAACACCTGGAAATGTGGATTTTTTTTTGCACACACAAAAAACGCAAGTGACCAAGCAAAGCCTTAAGCTCTTACTGTTAAATTCAGTTGAATAGAAAGCTTATTTTTTTTGCACCTTTACTTAAATTGTTCCTTAATTTTGTCTCTGTCATTTCAATAATATTTTTAAGAAGTTTTTAAATTGTTTTTTTGTCCAGAGACAGGCCTGTTTAATTTATTTTCTTAAAGAAGGTTCAGTTTTACAAGTTGAAACAAAAGAAATACATAAAAAATAGTTTACTTGGTAAAATTTGCATTTCAGTTTAATTATTAATTTTTATTCCAAATATCGTGATACATATCGAATCGTGAACATTATATCGTGATACACATCGTATCGTGAGCTGAGTGTATCGTTACACCCCTAGCGGACGCCTTTCCATTTCGGCGCTTGCTTTCGTGACCGTCACTTAGCAACAGCCATAAACAAAACAGCAGCTTGATGAGAAAAGCGTACCGGGGTTCAGAAGGAAAAAAGACGGCATGAACACAAACCAACTGAGAAGGTGCAAGGGAGGACAATCGAACTTGGGTACGATCCAGGCAACTGAACCAAGTGTGAAAGCACCCTAAGATTGTCAATATTTTAATAATAGGCTGGTAGTAAACCACAAGTTATGAAGTGAGATTTAATTTAAGTGTTACCAATTATCTAAATAATTATTTAAAACAGAGCATTTACACTTTTTTTTTTGCTTTTATTAATGATCTAGCCACGTAATTTCTTGATTATTCC